GCTGAGCCTGGTGACTCTGAGCTGTAAGACCTGAGCTCTTTGTTACAAGGTGTTTCATGGTGACAGATAATGGATATAAGTATCAGTCAGTTTTTTACTCACTTCAAAGAGAAGTCCTGCATTTCTAGGTGGGATTCCTTGTTTTTTCTACTTCTTGTTTCATAGTCATTTTAAGAAAAGCACATGATTTTCTTGGAATGCTTTGCTCCTCTTCATTTAGTAATACATTATTGTCAACAGCACTTATAAGTGTCTACTGCATGCTGTGAGCATCATACAAGATGGTTCTGCAATGTCTGGGTGGCTTAGGCTCAGAGTGACACACTTTTAAACTAGTAAACTTTATTGCAATCTTGATGTGATAGCATTTTATGAAGACCAGAGAGCTCTTTCTACAGACTCATTTCTTGGCTTGTGGGTTCTCATGGAAGGTTCATCAAAGCTCCAGTGCTGCCCTGTGTTGTTGAAGGGGCTGAATGGAGGATAGAGTGGGACTTGACTTTTATTTAAAAAAAAAAAATACCTCTCAACGTCCCATTCCTCCTTCTGCTCTGTATGCTACTGCTTGCTACCAAACTAAAAACCTGAATCAGGAAACTGCAAAAGCTAGAATATCACAACGTAATGTCTTAAGGCTGCCTTTGGGCAAGAGTGTCACCAGAATGGATTGTGGGCTGTGTGCAGTCCAATGAAGATATAACCAAATTAAACATTTGCTTTTGTCCTGTGCCTCCTAGAGCAGCCCTCAGAAGAGCAATTCTCACTAACAGACATTTGCATTCTTCCTTCTTTTCTTCATTTATCCATTCCTTTCTTGTTCATTTTTAATGTTTTTATTAAGATATTGTCTCACTATGTAGCTCAAGCTAGTCCAAAACTCATGATTCTCCCTTCCCCCTCCCGCCCCAACCTCTAGGGCACTGGGATCATAGCTGTGCAGCACACCTGGCATAGCTATTGTCTTAAGAGAAAAAAATAACTAGGAATTGTTTAGTAACTACTATGAGCCAGATAGCAATTTTTTAGCCTTTCACTTCCATGATCACAGTTAAAGCATCTTCAAGAAAGGCTAAAGGAATTAAGACCTAGAGATGCTGTGCATCTTGATTGTCAAGTCACTCTTTTGTAATCCCTAGTTGCAGCACAGAAAATATGTAAAATATGTAAGACTGTGCCCCTCCCACAGCGTTCTTTCAGCTGTGATGTAGCTTTAACTACCATGAGGAATATATTTTTCAGCAAGATAAAAAATACATGTGTTGGTTGCCTAGGGCTGGGGTTTGGAGAGACACAACTAACAGGCCTATTTTGTTTTGTTGAGTTAATGAAAATGATCTAAAATCGACTGTAGTAATAGTTACAATTCTGAGAACACATACTAAAAGTTGTTGAGTTATGAGGGGAAGTGCCTCGTGAGAAGGCTGGCATGTGAAAACTGCTGCTCTAGGGCATCGATTATGTGTTTGCGTTTGCAGTCAGAATTTGGTTTAGACAGGGTGGCAAGACTTTAGTATAGCAGATCTAGATAGGTATTTTAACGGAAGAATGTGCTGAGGACCTCCCCCAGCACACACACCTGGAGGCCCAGGCCCTTAGGGGTGGGTGGACTCACAGCTTAGATTTGCAGCTGATATCTCCAGCGCTTCATTGTTAAACTCCTATGTCCCCGTCTGGGTCTCAGTCTTCATCCCATTGAAATGAAATTTTCTCGTGTAATCATAGGCAATACCAGATTATCTCATGAGGGATAGGGATGGAGTTTTCTAGAAGGCTCCTCTACCAATACTAAGAATTATTTCTGAAGAGCTGAATAGAGACCTTTGAAGCACTGGCTGCTTCTATGTGTACTCTGAACCTATCGTAAATGAAGCCCTGCACTAAGACATTCACTTGCACAGCCTCATGGAGTTACTTCCACAAACCCCGTGGAGAATGAATACTCTGATTGCCTGTTTTAGCAATGGTAGAAACAGGAGTTCAGAGCACATACGTGGTTGGATAACTGGTTGGCTGACTCCAGCCAAAAAACCTGGCAGTCGTTCAGATTAGGTGTTTGGAGCACTGCGCTGGCAGGTTCTTTCTTATTAGGTGCCTCAGTGTAGCTCTGGAAGATCCATATTCATTTAGAAAAGTTTCCCGAAAGTTGGCTTCCACTTGATTGTGAGCTTGAAGCAGTGTCTTCCTTTTGTGGTTTTTGCACAAGCTCACCTGGAATTCCCAGGATTCAGCATGAGTGAGCCAACATCAGTGATGACTGCAGGTGATGTTCATGAAGAGCTAAAAGATAAATGTGGTGTCTGCCACTTCCTTGTGTCATTTCCTGTCCTAGCAGACATGATTCTCTCACAAGGTGAATCAAAAGCAACACAAGTAGCAGGAAAAAGCACCTATCTTTAGAGAGTTTGCCACCATAGCTACACTTTCTTACCCAGCCTCTCCAGGAGAGACCCGCCTTCTGTCTTCTTCACCATATTCGCCCTGTGTTCTACAGTGGGCTCCCAACAGCACCCTCACAACTGGCTCTTCCAATGCCAACTGCTCTGCCTCAAAATCTAAGAGGTCTGATTCAAAGGTGTTTGGGAAATGATGAGTTAAACAAAGATTAACAGCTTTTCATTGATGTAAAATTTTCCAGAGCCTCAGACTTTTTCTCACTTGATAGTAGTAGCAAAATGATGCCAGTAATATCTGCAGGCATTTACCACTTTCTATATGCTGGGGACTATGGCATGTGTTTAAAGCATTACTCCATTTGCAGCCATCCAGGAAGTATCTGGAGCGATTACCTCCATTTTGCAGGTCAGGAAATCAGGGCTTACAGTTTATAGCCATACTGCTTTGAACTGTGCCCGATCAAGTCTCATTTCAGAAGCTAAGCAGGGTCAGGTCTGGCCAGCACCTGATCGAAGAAAATACAGGCTGAGGAGTTGAATGGCTGAATGTACCAAGAATCACAAATCAAGGGCAGGACTGGGATTCATGAGTGGTAAGCCCAACATGCCAGCTCATGCTTTCCTTATGAGAAGATAGCCTGACTGTACAAACCTCTACTCTTGTTTTTGTGCTTCCTCTCTTTCTCCTCCCCATATGAGGCAAAATCAATGAAGGTTCACTTAGCAGGCCGGGTGGGGGTGCTTTGGTTTGAGCAGGAAACAGCTTTCAAGCCTTTGCTTTTGACGTGGCCTGAAATATTGTATAAAGGCATCAGACCACAGCAGGCTGACAAAGGCCAAGATGCAGGCTCAGGGCTGTGGCGGGACCCTAAGAGCCTTGTTTGCATGGGCAGTTGGAGGAAGGGTGTGTCTCTCAAAGAGGAGGTCTGTCATGTTCCAAATTGTTTGCATTTCTAAAACTGGGATTTGACATGTGAGCAATTATTATCTAATGCAAGACCTAAAACTCTGTCTCTTTCATCAACAATTTGGTAGTCAGGGGATTCTCATTAAACATGAACCTCTTTCCTGGTATGGGACTATTGAGTCCTTACCTTCTAATCCAAACTGTTTTTGAGGTCTGGAGCTTTTGTCATATTTCTTCTTCATTTCTCTCTTAAGTCTTGAGAAGATACTCTATGTACTTATTCAAGGGCATTCATCTCCCAGCAAGACGTTCCTCAGCAGTGGTGCTATAGTACCCAGGTCAGCAGCACAGCACCCCAGAATTTAGCCACAGTTCGACTCCTGAAACTCCATCTAAGACCCAGTGAGTCAGAAGATCCTGAGCAACTGAGTGCTCATATGCAGCTCGTGTGAAAACCATTTGCCTGGTGGTCCTTATCTCCATCTACCCCCTTGCTCATTTCCCCTGCAGCTCCCCAGTTATTCCTCCACTCCATCTTCTTCCTCTATCCTACAGCTACACCAGCTGGACACCATCTGCCTTCAAGAGTATCCTAATTGGTGTGCCCAGCCCCAGTCCAATTTTCTGTAGTCTAGTTCCCATTGATTAGTCAAAATGATGTTTTGAAAGGCAAAAATGACCACAGCAGGTACCTTGTTTAGAATTTGTCTTGTCTGTCTCCTGCTCTTATTCAGTTTAAGGTCATTAAAGAGTTCTCTCTACCTTTTTGGGTCAGCTACTCTATTTCCACTGTGGGGTCCAGCAGTGTATAAGGAGTGAAGAACAGTAAGAGCAATGTTCATGGTTGGTTTTCATGATGTTCATGACAGCTTTTCCTGCCCCTCATCCGATAAGGAACAACTTATCATTAGCATCACAGGGAAATAATCTCAAATACAATTCCACCTTTAGTTGTTGTATTCCTTAGGTTAAGTGTGACTCTTACTCATTTGGACACCCATGATCTAGTTCTGATTGGGCGTATCAATACTCAGCAAAGTGTCTGGAGAATTAAGCAACATGATGAGTGTGAAGGGACAGCGCCATGTAATATAGTAGAGAATTAATACATTAGTTACCGCCACCACTTGACACAGTCACCCAACTTGTCAATACTCAACTCCAAAAGTTCCTTAGTTCTGCAGATCACTCAGCTGGGAAAACGGGAAACAAGTTTCTTTCTCTAAAAGTCTAATTCTTCAGACTTAAGGTCAACAATGTGGCTGTGTTTATCTCCCCATAAGAACCATGTACCTCCCCACGTGCTACCAGTGATACTTCCAGAATTAATTTATCCTTTTTAAAATTAATTTATCTTATGTTTTGTTTTTGCCACTTTGCTTTTGTAGTTCTGTTTGGGGAACTTGCCTTTCCTTAGATGTTTCTCATAGAGGCATTTCCCTAAAACAACAGATAATAGGAGGTGAGCAAAGGGAGAGAACGGCCCTAAGCATGACACCACACCAAAGTGCATGCACATGTGCACACACATGCCACATGACACACCTCTGCATTGGAGATTACACAGACTTAAAGGTATCCATCAGGGCAGACACACATGACTGGGCCACGTACAAACACCAGGACTCTCTGTCCCTTCATTATTTAATGCTGAGTTTGACAACACCTGGACAAAGGAACCAGAAAAAGGAATACAGTACCTTTTGGCGACTTAAGTGTCGCCACTGCCCAGTCACCATCAGAATTTCCTAAAAAAATAACAATCGAGAGATGCTGATCTGGTTGCCAGGAAACCCATACTTGTGGAACCCTCACACCCATGTGATGCTTGCTGCCTCAGCAGCCTCCTCCAAGGAATCTGGCCTCAGAGACCCCAGGGAACAAGGAAGGGAGCCAGTGTGGCCTTGCACTGAGTATGCACCTGTTCGTACAAGACCTAACAGAAACATACCCTGAACATGCCAACTCTACAGCAACAGAGGAGGTCTGGCTATAAATTTCAACTCACTACAAAAGAAAGAAAATTTTGGCTTATGGGATGTTGGTTTCACTAATATACACACAAGATGTCAAAAGATGGAATGTGCTTCCTCTTTGCTACATTCTTCTGAAAAAGGGTACACCTTTGTTAAAGCAAACTCCAAGCCAGAAAGTGGATCTTACTTGCCTGCCTGTGGTTGTAAAAGCTGCCTTGGGTACAGTCCGCCTTATCACAATGCCTAAATGTGAAAGGTTTTGCTGGAAGTGAGGGAATTCACTCTTCCCCAGAGTAATGTTTTCCTAAGTAGGGAAACTCTCCCCAAAGCTAAAGAGATCAAGCTTGTTGTCGGAGAATCCAGTAATGAGTAATGCATTGCTTAACAGACAGGTGTGTGGCTAGAATTCAGTTATAAAACTAATTCCCTTCCAGATGTGCCCAGGAGCCCTTGGGGGAGTGGCCTAATATTATTAACAGAGTCTAAAGTGACTTCTCATAAAATAAACAAGTATGAGAAGACCTCTGAGTGTACACCACTCCTTCATTAATGGTCTTCTGTGAAATTGAGTTTAAAATTTAAAGGACAACCTCCGTCTCATCCCATTGGCTGGAAGCCTGACCAATAAGTGAGTGTTACTGACTCTCTTTTTCTTCCCTGGGAACCTACTTGGGCAGACTTTCTGCAGGATTTACAGAGACCTAACTGGCTGCCAACAGAAAGGACAATCAGGGAACTGGAGTGACTATAGAGCACACATTTGGCCCCATCTCAACATTTCTGTCTGGCCTCCTATGCCAATGGACTTTCAGATTGCCATGTAGCCCCTGGGGATCTGAACTCTACACCCCATCACTCAGTCAGGGAGGAGAGACAGGACAGTGAGTTAAAGTTCAGTGGGCCCTGCCTGCAATGCTTTGCCGTGTTTTCATCCCCTATTTCAGGGTCATCCAGAAATAGTCATAGGGCCCTAGATCTTCCTGTGTTCATGGATAGCAGTGTGACCACAAACTGTGTCACATGGACATCAGTGTGACCCAAGTCTGTCTCCAAGGAAGTCATCTCACCATGAATCAAATTCCTCAGTTTGCCTTAAAGGCAAGGTCACCTTTTGCTTCACTGGTCAGAGTAGTGTAGGCCTGACTGGGCAGCAGCAAATTTTCTTCTCTGAATCCATTGACAATGATGCGTGCATGGATACCAAGGAGGCACTGAAGTCCTCACAATACTTGGTGGTATTAACTGACATTAAATGAATATTTTGGGATGAGAAGTGCTCATTAAAAGGGGGTGGACCTTTTCAACCAAACAAGAGCTGCAGGAAGGAAATGGTGTAAGTTTTGGCTGTGCTGACTTGTTTATTACCTTTATGCAGATGTGATGATTCAACTGCAAGTGGTTTTCAGTAACCACTATTGAAAAATTAGGAGCTTTGTGTTTTGCTGCTTAAAAATTTACCTCCTCTGTAGTATATTTCAAATATGTTATAACTCGGTTACGCTCAACATCTTGGGAAAGCTTCACCTTCACAGGAAAAACAACTGAGGATGTTCTTGATGAGCCTTTCCCCAGAGACAGAGGGGGAATAGGGAATGGGCTCCACAGAAGGAGCAGAAAATCGGGGGTATTAGCTGAGCCTCACAGAAGGAGGGAGCAAAGTGGCCAGTGGGTGCCAGAGAAAGAAGGAGTGAAGTAGGCAATGAACCCACAAAAGGAGGGAGAGTGGCAAGTGTGCCTCGCAGAAGGGTAGGGAGAGAGAGGAATGGGCCTTGGCAGCTTTTCTTTTGCCTAGTGGCATGCTTTGATTGTCAGAAGTAGCTCTGAAGAAGCATCTTGGATGTGGGCTCAATTGCTTAGCCAGGCTGAGCCTCAGGTTGTCCATCAGTAATTGTTGGTTTACTATCTCCCTTGGGTACCTGCTGCTTTGGAGTTCAGTGAAATTTGTCTAGGATGACAGGCAACTTAAAAAAATTAAATCAGATAAAATCAGTTCATGGCTGAGACCCTCATTCTTCTCTTTGGGTTTTGGTACGAGATAGTCACGGAGGATAAAGACAGAATTCCTGCACTATTGCTGGTGTTTTACATTTTTATTGGAAGATGCGGCATATTCTGGGAGATCAATCACTTGTCAACTGCAAAAGGGAAATATTTTTCTTAATACAAAATTAATCTTTTGGTTCAAATAAAGACATGCAGCATTTCATCATCATGCTGGTAAATCAGTAAATTTCTTCTTTTTCATACTGGGTGGCCAAGGTTGCACTGAGCAACATAAAGGGCCTAAGGTCAGTGACCTCCCACAGTTCAGGAGTTTGACCCTCAGAAACCTGGGACAACTGGATCAGGACAAATGGGAGATAAATGCAGGCATGTTTGATTACAGAATGAGAGGGAGTTTTCCCAGACCTTAGGAGTCCTCCATCTCTGAAGCACTAGGTGGTCTCCAGGACTCTCTTCAGGGACACTTCTACGTTGCTCACACCATCCTATGAGGAGACCGAGTCCTCGCCCTGCACCTGCACACAGTGCAGGGAAGGGAATATTACCCATGTCAAGACATAAGGCACATTTCTCAGCTTCCACCTCAGGTGGAAACATCTCCAAACGGTTTAAAGCCACATTGCAGCCTCAGCCTTGGTGAAGGGAGCCAGGTGAGTGGCGCAGGCCCTCGGGTGGGTGGCAGTACTCACACATCTGGCCATCCCATTTCTTCCAGACTGTAGGTGGGCAAAGGGAGGTGGCTTGGGCTGGTTCTGCCAATTCTTGGATCCACAGAAAAGAAATTTGTTGTTTGTTTTCTTACCCATTTGTTTTTTAGCAGGCCCCTAATGTGAACTAATTTACAGCATGTATAGCTTTTCCAAACTGATGTCAAGAATATGGATTCTGCTCTCTCCCTCCAATCAAAATGTGTGCCAATCAAGGTCTTTGTGTATTTGGGAGATTAGAAAGATATGGCTGGCAGGCAGTTCTTCTGGAAAGGAAAACATAATGGGCTGAAGTAGTTACTGCATATTAAGACATTTTTCCCGGGCTGAATCACTGACTCCATCTAAGCCATTCTCTGTGTGATTATGAACCCATCGACTTGAGAGAAATAATGCTTGAGTCAGAGCTTAAAACTCAGTCCTAACCAATGTTAGTTGCATGTACATTCTTCCTTCTTGCTAGTCACCTCAGGTGAGTTGACAGGATGTCGATCACATGTCAATTCACTGGCTTGACAGAGGGCACTGGTACTTGAAATGCCCCACATGGTGCTGCGTACTGAGGAGATACTGTGGGTGGGTGCCTCAGTGTCTCCTATAATCAAGGGGCACCAAGTTCCCAAGGGACACCTGGAGAATAAACGAATGAATGAATGAATGAATGAATGAATGAATGAATGAATGATATTGCATTTCAGGATGTGTTTCCCCACAGAGTCCTGTGTGGCTCACCTCTTGGCATTTCCCTTGTGTGCTAGTCTTTTGCCAATAGGTGAGCAGTGACCCCCCCCCCACCATGGAACAAACATCACTCCACAGTCACATGCCTGATATGCCCAGATAGTATGTGTCAAGGCCCTCAAGTCTAACAGAAGAAAGTTTTCTCTAAGTATGAATGGGGTGATTTCAATAAAGCAGCAAAATTAGAATGAGAGACAAAGGCAGGTAGGTTTGGGGTCTAAATCAGGGATAAAAAAAAATGCTTACAAGCCTTTCTTCAGACCTGACCTTCTACCAGCACTGGCAGTGAATAATGGAATGTTTCATTGCCCACAGTTGTTCTAGATGAGATGGGATGGTTCAGTATTACAATTTAAAAAAATCAGAGTGGTGTTAGGGGACCATCTACTCTGCTTCCTTGTTTATCATATGAAGTGGAAGTCGGGGCATTTCAGTGGCTGCTCAGTGGCATGCAGCTGAGCAAGAGCAGAGCGCAGCCTAGACTGGAGCCTCTGTTAAGTACCTGATGTCCTGGATAGTAACGTCTTCAAAGCAGATTTATTTCCTAGGATGTGTTTTGAAGTTGGCAGTTAACAGTGGGAGCTGGCTAGGCCTCCCTTGTCCACTGGATTGAGAGTTTTTATACAGTGAGTCTGGCCCTGGGAGGTTGCAGAGAGTAGATGGGAAACCATTTTTAAACAGCCTTGCTCCTGGGTGCTAATGACCCTCTGCTGAATGCATTTCCCTGCTCACACCAGGTTTGCATTACACCTTAATAAAGAACCCTTGAAAGGACATTTATTATGGGTTTTGAGTTCACTGATGCAGGCTGATTCTGAGTCCTAGTGAGCCACTGGGTCAGGCAGTTCCTCAGCCATAAACTCCTCCACTGAGAGGAGACCCAGACCATCCACCACTCTTAAAGACCAAGAAAACCACCACTATCCAAGGAAAGAGAGGAAGCCATTTACTAGATTGAAGAAAAATCCCAAGAAAGAGCTTTTCATTTGCTACAAGATACAAGGATGATTGCTTAAAATCCAGCTAGTCTTTGATTTTTGTCAAAGGCAAGCTCAGTCAATCAGGCAACAAATATTCCAGGAGTTTCTGGTTGCAGAAGAAAGGGTTACATAAGGAGTGCCAAACATATTTTCATATTGCAAATTTCATTCCAAATGCTCTGCAGACATTTTTGTCTAAAGCAACCCTGAAGAAATCCTGGGAGGGATCAAGGAGCTGTGTGGGAACATTCATCAATTATTTACCCTACCAGCTACTAAGTATCTGGTGGGGGAGCTCAAAGTTAAAGAAGTGAGCTGCATGGGATAATCTGACTGCTTCTCACAGAAACAAAACACATCTGGGTTGATTATTTTTAATGTCTAAAGAAGCATCACATATCACAACACATGGTATTTATCCCTGAATGGCACGGTTCAGAAAAGGAGGTGGGGCCAGAAGTGTTTGCAGGTTGCTGCAGCTGTGTGAGCAGTAAGGCACTCACCTGCTCTCTTTGGCAGCTGTACCTCTCCCTTCCTTGTAACACTGGATGCTTAAGATGTACAGGATATGCAAGATCACAGTGTGAAATCAAGAACATTGATGGCTATAAATCATAAAAGGGGGTGTTTTATAGGGGTTGGGGAGGCAAAGAAATAAAGCAGTAGATGTGGGTAATGAGCAAGGAATGCTGTTCCAGGCTAAAGCTTTAGGGAAGCCTGGGTCTTTATTAAATATGACTTTGGTGACCTTGGTGCCATACATTTGGCTCAATCTCCTCTAATTATTCCATTCTGAAGGCCTAGAAAACTAAGAAACAAAGAGCTCTTAGATTTCTGATACAAACATTAATTACATTGCCTTATTTGAGGTCCCAATACACTTGCTTTATGAATATTTTTATCAGTATGAAGTTTAGATACCACAAACATCAGAGCCACATGGTAGTGTCTGAACCTTGGATACTGGGGTTAGGACATTTCATAGTTGAATTCATCAAAGAGTATCTACTATCTCATCTCTACTGAAGGGCTGGAAGAAAAGAAGATGAACAACTGGTCATAAAAGACAGTGTATCTGTGGCCTCCTCTAACCAACCAACATTTATTGGAACCAAAACTGTGTAAGAATAAATGAAGAACCAGAAAGGCAGAAAGAACTCTGCCAACCAATCAAATAAAATTCCATCTGAGGGGAGTTGTTCCATGATGCAGACTCCTGATAATCAATTCTTTCGCGGAGAAGAATGCTCCATAAGGAGTTTTCTCCCATGGATTGCTGAGACCATATATACAAGGAAGGCAAATGTAGTGTTGTATACTTGGTAAAAACCTAATTTACCTAGGTAGCTCTAGAGTCTAGAGTCTTTCATTTCACCAGGAAATGAAAGAAAGAAGCTACCTGTGCTAAGCTTCTTGGAGATGGCAGGGGATATGTGGGTGATGGAGGTTACTTTGGTAAAACTAATAGACCAGATTCTCCATCTGAGCATCCTAAGGATTACCCAGGGAAGATGGGGAATGCTGAAGGAGATCTCACATAAGTGAGACCACATGGGCATTTGGGCCTATCTCTCCAGGAAAGAGTCCTCATTAAAGAGGTGGCCACCCTGCCCTACACAGGAAAGGAGGATTTATCTACATCAGAGGAAGCAGCTGCAGGAGTCCTGATTCCAGATGGGTAGGTAGGTAGACAAATAGATAGATAGATAGATAGATAGATAGATAGATAGATAGATAGATA